AACATAGTCGGTGGCAGTGGCAGTGGCTGGTGATCCATCATCCGCCGTGGTGTGGACGCGCGGGTGCGGCTTGACACCCCGCGCGGCGCGCCCGTCCGACCCGTCATCAGCTCGGTGGTTCACGTCGGCGGGCCCGCTCTTCTTTGTTCCGAACCTTCGTCACCCTGCCCGCCTGGCCACACCCACACACGGCAATCAGCGACGACCCCAGGCCAAAGGCCCAGCAAGGCAAGCAGTGTCACTGAATCGGAAAAAGCGTCGTCTTCAGGGAGTCAGGTGCGTCTAGTCCGCTGGTTTCTCCCCTCGCCTTCTCTTCCCCAACTCACCGCACCGATCCACCTTTACCAATTTTTTCTCTCTTGTGCTTGTTTTCTTGGTTCGTCCCAGAGAGCGTTGATCTCGCCTTTGCTGGTGGTCTGGTCGGTGGCAGCGGTGACCTGTGATGGAGCCCCTGGAGGTGGCCATAACGATCATATTCGACGCGCTGCTGCTTGTGTTCATGGTCAAGCTCTTCTTCGCCATGTTCCAGATGAAGCTCGTCGTCATCCTCTTCTACCTCGTCATCCTCCTCTTCGCCATGGCCTTCTCCGGCCAGGCGCCCAGTAGCTTCTAGCTCGTAGCAGGTGGCAAAAATCTTTCTTCCCATGTCCCCCCTTCTTTCGTTTCTTCTCCTTTTGAGGGTATAGATCGGTGGAGTCGTGCAGCACTACGTCCTGTGAAAAGATTAAGACTATCATCTCGGTTTTTGGTTCAAGACTAATTTTTCTCTAGAAAAAAATGTATGCATGATCCGAGGCGCAAATTGCGTACGCGTGAAGAGAAACCGTGTGCTCAAAACACGTGAATTAGTCAATCTAGAGCTTCTCCTACGTTTCATACTTCTGTTGATCAATTTCTAAGTAATTCGTGCTGTACCTTCTGCCTTTTACCCTTTTGTTATGGTTTCGTGGATCACTGATAGAGAGCCGTGGTGCAGATGAAAAGAGATGAACAGTGAACATTGTTGCTTGCGTAAGCTTCACCCTTTTTTCCTTGGAAAAAACTTCCCATATTTATGGTTTTTTTGGGGGTAAGATGTAAAATAGTGTTTCTCTTGCTTTCGTTAAAATAAACAACTTCTCCTAGAACCCTAACTCTCGCCATGTGGCCTCCATGATTAGAGAAGGCCCCGGAAGTTCCGAAATGGTAGACTTTCTCGACTTCACGCTCATTGATTTGTGCAATGTATATATAAAAAAAAAGGAGCATCGACTTTGGTGGGTATCAGTCTATGGCCCTTTTCTCGTCCGCGTCGTATTTTGTGGACTGCCTTTTCCTATATATATATATAACACAATTGTTGTGTTGTGCTTTGTATATTCACGGTACATTCTCGTCGTGATGATACATGATAGCAAACGCTGATGCAAAATTGACGCCATACTCACACAGAAAGCAAAGCAGTCCTAACTACCCATGCGTACAGGGGACGCCTGTTTATTAGTAGCAGCTTAAAATTTCCAAAAAGAAATAGATAGAGAAGAAATTAGTGTGCTAACTTGTTTCAGAAAAAAAATAGTGTGCTAACAATATTCCTCCAGGGCGTATTAGTTATGGTTTTTGTTCATATATATGGAGTCAGACCATTATTGGCAACGGCGCCAAATGGTAAGATGATGGTATTGGATCCAAACCGGAGCAGATTTTGTTGAATCTGTGGTTGTTTGGTTTATGGAATCACTTCATTCTAAATGAGATAGTGCATAGTAGATTCCTCAAATTTGCTAGAATAACTTCATTCCTCATACTAGTGCTAATTATTAGCTTGTGAGAAATGAGATGATGATAGATGAACTCATTCCACTTCATAAACCAAACAAAAAAAAGGTAAAAAATGAGAGGAGATGAACTAACTCATTCTTCAAAACAAACACCTCTTCTCAGGCCACAGATTGGTGATGTTTTGGAACTATCTTAAGTGAACCATTACCCATTTTGTATTGAGTTTGAACATTTAAATATAATGCTGGTAGAATTGTCTTAAAGTGTACTTTATAACAGTATATTTTGCTGTTTTATAAATATTTTATAACAAGACTAGTGGTTAAAGTCTTTTTTTTTTTACCTGAAAACATTCTCAATAGACAAACTGTCACATATTTGTGACCAGAGGAAGTAGTCAATTTTTAGACGAATCTAGATTTAGCAAACTAGGTAAAATATTCATTGATATCAAACTAATTCTAAGCGACGGAGTTTCATTGTGACATGAAAATTATTATATTATTCGTACACCTGAGTTTTGGTGCCAAGGTGGAAGTATGTTTTTCAAGAAAAAATACAATTCTTGTATAGTATTAAGGTAAACCATTTTCACCAAATTTTTAAATACCAGCATTTGTGGTATCAAATAAGTATCATTAGCTTCATCAATATTTTTTAGAGTATATCTATTTTATCATAATTGTTGATACTATTTTTTTTCCTAAAGACTTAGTTAAACTTAAAATAGTTTGTTTGAGACCAAACCAAAAATTGCATTCCTTTAGGGGACGGAGATATTAGAAACAATAGATAGATTATATTATCAAGCAAGCAGAGAGTTTTTTTTGACAAATCAAATAAGGAGAGTTAACAATAGCAATACTGCTTTGGTCGCCGAATATAAGAAGCTTCTTTGATCCACTTCATAGGACATGATTCGTAATTATTTTTGGACAGTTGTGAAAATGAAAATCCCCCCTTAATTCAAGGGCGATCAACGTAATTCTTTTCAAACAAGTATTTCAGACTTCATAGAGTTGGGATCAGTTTTATTATTATTATTATTATTTGGCTGCACCAATTGTCATATCGAAGAAGCAACATCAAATAACTGGTTTCGGGAGTGGTTAAAATAAGATTCAAATGATAAGTTTGCTCAAATCACAACAGCGTACTGAAGTCCAATTAAATCTCACGAGGAATTGGTTGCCGGCAAATTAAGCTGTTGGCCTCGTCATTCTGCTTTACCCTTGTTGGCCTTGGCGGCTTTGTAGGCGGCGCCGTGGAAGTTGAGGAAGAGCGCGAGCAGCGACGCGTTGAAGACGGCGTTGAACACCCAGCCGGCCATCCCCTCGCAGCCGTCAGCGGTGAAGTGGAGCCACAGCATCACCACGGAGGCCGCGAAGCTGAAGAGGAACTGCACGATCTGCAGCTCCGTGACGGCGCGCTTCCACCGGTTGGGCCAGCGCAGCCCGACGCTGCAGGAGAGGTAGTAGGAGTACATGACGACGTGCACGCCGGCGTTGGTGACGAGCGCGATGGGCATCAGGGACTGGCGCGTGGCGAGCCAGAGGTAGCACATGGCGACGACGACGGCGTGGTGGTAGACGTGGAGCAGCGTGAGCGGGCGGCGGGCCAGCAGGATGAGCAGCGTGTCGCCCAGCTCGTACACCTTGGAGAGGTAGAACACGTGCGCCCAGAAGAAGACGGGGCCCGACGCCTCCGTGGCGCCCGCGGCGGCGGGAAGCAGAAGGGCCACGCCAACCGCGGCGCCGGCGCCGTGGCGGCCGTCGAGCGCGCACCCGGCGGCCATGGCGGCGGAGAGCGCCAGCAGGACCGCGTTGTGGGCGGCGGAGGCCGCGCGGAGCGCCGGTTGAGGGAGCGGAGGGAGGCGGGGCAGGACGAGGCGGCGAAGGACGAGCACCGCGGCGAGGTAGCCGCAGATGACGGCGGCCGCGAAGGACGCGGTCGCGCCGACCGTGCGGCCTGGCTGCCAGCGGAACGAGGCCACGGCTGGGTGCTCCACCAGGAGCCACCGCACCTGGCTCAGCAGCGACGCGGCCATCGGTCACGGTCACGCCTCGCTCGCACCGGCCGCTGGAACTGATCTGCTCGGCGACCTCGCCTCTGCTCCCTCAGTCCCTCCCTGTGTGGCGTTCCACGTGCCACGTCGTGCTGGGCAAGGCCGAGGCCGCGAGGCGGTTGATCGGGAGGGAGGAGCAAGAGCCGCGTTGGGCCGTTGCCACTCACAGTGACGGTGGACAGCGGCCGCATCCAATCCGTACGGCGAATAAATCGTGACCGTCACGTGATAGGCGTGGACATGGGACAAGGCCCAGACTGAACAACAATCGCATTATACTGCAAAAAATTTCTGGCCAAGCGCCTCCATGAACACTATGGGCAAGTTTGGGGCGTATACGGCTGCTATCTTCTCCATGCTGAATGAGTGGATCTGTATAGGTATTGCTGATACTACCACACAATAAGCAAAGTTTATTGGTGTTGCTTACTTCTGCCTAATTTCAATTTTCACAGCGTGAGAAAACGCATACCAAATTTTCATCAGTTGAGGCATGCCCAAAAAGAATGTAAGCATTAAGCAACATCATGTATCGACAGAGCCAACAAGAAAGACCCACCGAGAAGCAGAAGGGCATGGGCATGATTCCATTCCCCTGGGCCCTGATATATATATATATTTTTTCCCTGCAGTCGCAGGCTTTGAAACAACATCGCACGAGATCTTTTGAAGTTGAGGTAGCCTTATGAGTTGCTCCTCGCATTAGAACATGTTCTTCAGCCACAAAAAATAAGGAAAATAACCTCATTTACCACACTGGGGAAAAGATCGAGCTTGTCAGATACAATGCCCACAAAAACACGCGCAAGACACCTTTCTATTTCTATTCTAGTTCTTGGATCACCATCATGATATAACATACTTGGCAAATTTTGATGCATTGAAACTAGAAATTTAGCTACTGCTGATCAACATACTCTAGATGTGTTAATATAAAATCTTAATATAAATTTTACAGCGTTCCTTTAACATCTCCTGTGGGATACCTCGATCGAGCCTCTAAATATTCCTTTAAGCCAGGAGCATAGCAACAGCACAACAACAAAATTTCCATTTCATCAGAGCACAAATGTAAGCACACTCAACCACCGAATTCATCAAGCAATACAACTACACTGAATTAGCCTCAGCAAATCACCTCCGGCAGGGAAGAGGCAGCCGACAAACTCAGAGCTCAGAAGCAGCAGTCGCAGTCGAAGGGGCACAGCGGGGTGCCACCAGCGTCGGCCTTGCCGAACCCGAGCTCATCGGCCGAGTATATGGCGAGCCCGTCCGCAGTGCGCCGACGAGGCCGCTTCTCCTCGAACTCCTCGTCGTCGTCGTCAGCCACCCAACCCTTGCCCTTACTCCCCGGCGCCTTGTTGCTCTTCTTCTTGCTGCTGCTGCCCCCCTCGGCCCTCTCCTTGGGCTTCTTCCTCCTGTCCCCATGGGCATAAGCCTCCTCCAGCTGCGGCGGCTTCCGCTTCTTTCCCGCCTTCGCGGCGCTGAAGATCTCGTCGATCTCGTCCCTCACCTTCTGCTTCTTCGGCTTCTTGACCGCCGCCGGCTGCTCCTCGGTGGGCTTCGAGGGCTTGGGTTTCTTGTCGGAGGATGGGGACTTGGGGTTGATAGACGGCTTCGACGCAGTAGTAGGCTTCTTGTTCTTCTGGGATTTCGTTGGCCATCGCTGTGGGAATTTTTTCCGCCGCCGCCGCCGCCGCCGCCGCCGCAGGCGTCGTCGTGGTTGGAGAAGGCGGCGAAAAGGGTTTGCGAACGGAAGGCGCACGATTAGCGGAAACTGGACTGGAGAGGCAAAATAAGTTCGTGGGCCTAGCTAGGAGTGGGAAGACCCGCTTATTGTGTTGAGCTAGCCTACTGCAGCCTCCGCGTATGCCCAATCGGTTTGGCCCAATTATACATTCTAGGGCCTAGCACCATCGCTGGCATTGGCCTGCTTAGCTTGAAACTAAGAAATTGTCACCCAGGCTAGTCTCAGTGTTACCTAAAAGAAATTCTCAGTGAACATGTTAAAATTGTTAGTGTTTTATATTTACAAGAAAACACATATTTTTCTATAAATAATGGAAACAACCCGGCTTCATCTGTTCAGACCAAGCAAATACATATAATTGTGATAAAATAAGGATGCTCCATATGATCATGTTTTTATCTCTTGAGACCAAGCAAATACACATAATAGTGATAAATAAGGGTGCTCCATATGATCACGTTTTTTAACACGACAGTAACTATCACACGGAGCCCGATTAGAGAAACCAAAGGCACAAACTCTCCATGTCTACACAATATGCGAGCAGCACACGCGGGCTTGCCCAAGCCCTCCCTCCAAATGTACATCACAATTTTCAAACAGGCTAGGATGAGAAAACCAAACAGGCCGTATAAGAAATCTGTCAAGCACGAGGGAACACGCTTCCCTAATACTAGTATATCAACTCAGACAAAAAAAACAGATATATTGAATTTTCCATATTATAAATTAAAGCAGTCCAAATTACTCCCCCAACTCTGGCATATGTCGAGATAAACCCATAAACTTGTTTGGTCGCAACTCAACTTTTGAGTATCGCTTCTACACATAATCACATATGTACAACTGGTGCAACGGGATTTATATATACAACTGGTGCATGGGATCATCTTACCCATTGCTTTTCTGCAATTACAACACCGTCCATATAAAACGAAAATAAATGAAACAGTTTTTTTATGAATGGCAATCATTACTTCACCATGATAAAACATTAAAACATGTTATTACAACCACATATGTACAACAGATGGGACGAGTTTTGTATTTACATTTTGCAACTTGCTGATCCCGCATGAGGGCCTTTTGCACTCACAGGGCCTTCATAACAAATCTGGCAGACGCAGCAGCACCCTTTGCTGCCACCTTCAGGACATGACGGCTCTTGTACAACCTGCATCCAATTCAAAAGGTAACAGTGAAAAGAACCATCAAACATGCTTTACGCACATTATTTACATTTGTAGATAATAAAGAAAGTATTTTTTTCACACAGTCACTTAAGCATAATCTTGACATAATTGTAGTACATTACAGGACAGTTAAGGCAAAGTATGATGATATAACCAATAAAAAGGTCAATATGTTGACCTAAATTCCATCACAAATGTTAATGAGTACCAAACTACCAGTAGAAGGTTAGCACTGCAAAAATACTCTAGCATATACCTAAAGAACAACGAGAAATATAGGTTTTGAGCAATGATACAACAAAATCCAAAAGAGCTAGAGTGGAGTAAACTTTTGAAGCTCAACTGCAAACAGGATGAGAGATTTACCCTGCTAATGTGATTCCCCAAGTGGCCAAGATATAAATAATCTGTCCAGCCTCCCAAAAGGTTGACCATCTCCATCGAGCTTTCATGCTATCTAATGCCTTTGCAACAGCTAAATACAAGTTAAATCCAACAACATATCAGATTGCACAAGAAGATAGCTCAAACCCATCCACAAATAATAAACTGATGGAGGCAAGTAAAAAAGCAAGTTCAATCTCATACATACTGTCTAACATTCATGTTAAACCACCCAGAGCATCTATAAGGTTAATTTAATGAGAATTTGAAAAGAAAAAAAAAACTGTACCCAACATATCTTTCACCAGTACAAGTTCATCTAACAGCAATCTGAAAACCAATTTAATCAATCATCACAATTCACATACACAACCTCATCAAAGCAGCAATGGATCCTTAAACTGTGATATCTACTTTAGCAAAGGCATTGTCTCTATAAACCAGTAGCTTTTGCTAGCAATGGTGTGCATCATACACTATAGGTGTACACTCTCAAGTACCATAAGGATCGACATCTTTTACAATGCCCTATATATGGCTATATCTCATATGTCCTCAAGTAATCAAGAAACTAGATAAATCCCTAAACCAAAAGGGTCTGATCATCATCCATGCATAGTAATAGTAAGATATATAGTAGCAGAGTTGAGAATTGTGGGTAACTATTCAGAAATGATGAACCCCAGAAACCCGGACAGCTATTTAGTGGTGCAATGTTTGAGTGCAGCATGGTCACATGGAGGATAGACGTACCCTTCTGGAGCTGCACTGGCGATAACGACTGAAGGAAATGTAATAAGAAACAGTTAGACATCATAGAAGTGCTGAAGAGAATGCTCATCAACCATTGGTAGCATCTAAACAAACTCTTAAAGAAGGAAGTACCTTGGATTTTGGATCTTCAAGAATGCACCTAGCAACAAAGGTGGCAATACCATCGACTATGTCGTCTTCATTGATTATGACATAATTTTCATCATCAATCCCACTAATTTCCTCCAAATTAGCCCCAGCAGTATCACAAGCAACCAAGACCCACGATCCTTTCTTCCCGTTACCCATTTTGTCTGGAATGTCTGCAACTTCCACCTCTAGTTCCATTCAAGCAGAAATTGGAAATGAGTTAGTTTCCTCACACTTTGCAGAATGTATTAGAAGAACCAACGGTGACCATAAAACATAGCCTAGAAACAAACTTTACAATGCTTAGCGAGGAATGAACCTGTCATGTTGCCAGAAGATAGTTCATTATGTTCACGTGCTGACTCATCCTGTAATTTCTCGAGATGAGCAAGGAAGCTAGCATTGTTGACCGTCGCCATCAGTCGGTTGTACAGCTAAATTGTAAAATCACATCCATGAGCAACAAAATCAACCCAATATATAAGAAACATGTAGCTATAAAGTGGACAGGGCATGAGAATACACAAAATGAATTTTGATTACATTTTGTTTGCTCTTATCTGCAATAGTTGATATATTAGAAAGTGCCACACAATAAGGTTAATCTATCATGATGAATTGATGATTGTAACCCTCCGAGGCTCAGATATCACATCTACGTTTCGAGATACACTAGGAATTAATTTGGGGGAAGAATAAGGCCCACACCCTTTGGGATATGATTTAGTTCTAGCGGGTCAAATTATCGACATACATTCCTTTTTAACTATAAATAACTGTATAAGCTAGTGCCAGCTTCCATAGGGGGAAAAACTAACAGTCACACCAACATAAAAGTATGCTTACATCAGGAGGGCACTCCTTGGAGACGCAGGGCGCGCCGTGGAGCTCGCGCAGGAGCGCCAGGTCATCTGCGAGTCGGGCGCGGAGCATGGCGTTCTCCTCCCGCAGCCGCGCGGCCTCCTCGCTGGCGCCCCCGCCGCCATCAGCCCCCGCGGGCAGCGCAGTCGGGTCCCCGTCGTGGTCTGCAGGGTGGCCGGGGCGGTGGTGGTAGGCGTAGCGCGCGACCTCGGCAATCTGGACGACGGTGTGCGCAACCTCCAGCGGGATCTTGTGCGCCGCCGATGCCAGCGTCATCGTCGGCTTGACCGATCGGTTGGACAGCAAAATCGCTTGATCTCGCCGGTATGCTTTCCAGGGACGCGGAATCGAGAGGTGGAGGGAGGCGACGAGATGAACCCTAGGGCCACGCCGCTTGCCGGGGAGGCGTGGACGACGAGTTTGATGGGAAGCAAAATCGCTTGATCACGGTCTGTTCGTTTGGCCGTGGCTCTCGTAAATTTCCAGCCGAAACAGTATTTTTATCTCCCATAAACCGGCAATTGTTATCAGTACTTCTTTACGAACTAGCAACGAAACGAACCAGCCAACCAAAATTGTGCATTCAGTCACGTCTAGGTGGGCCCCACGGATCGTCTCTACTCAGACACTGGATTTTGACCTCGTCTTTCATCCGTAACCAAGGTGTTACGTCCAAAGTATATTTTAAAGTCTTTATGTTAACGAGCAAATGTCGTAGGGCTTGTTCGCTAGAACTTAATCTACTGTATTTTTCTCACATAGCTTATTAGATAGAATCTACTGTATTTTTCTCACACAAACAGGCCCATAATCTGGGAACTATATACTTTACTTGCAGACTGTAACAACACGCAAGCTTATAATCCACGATCCACATGCTAAAACAAAAATGCAAGGCATATCCATGATCTTCATGCATACAAAATATAGGTCCCTTCAATTCAATCTTAAGAACAAGAAAATTATGTCGATTTTCATTGAATAATGTCAATTAGCTTGTCCCATATAACTGGCATTCAGCAATATTTTCCCTTCACATACGTGAGATCTTGTTTGCATTTTTTTTCTTTTTTGCCTCAGGACTTCTTTAGATGCATATCTATTCAATTATTTATCTCAATCCACGATGAGAATTAGCCGCTCGAACAAATACTCATATGTACTTGCATACATGACAATTAGCCTCATGTATACATGACAATTAGCCTTTAAGACCAATCAAACTGGCATCCACGAACTGAACCAACTGACGGAGCGAGGGCGCCGAAAACAGCTTGTTACCGTGAATTTGCATTGAATTTCATATTACACGATGAATATGGGATTACAAGTTACAACAGAACAAGCAACAAGCTACGGGGGTCGCACACGGGCGCAAGCGGCTCACCCCAGAACAAGCAATTCAATCCGCTGGTAGGATATACTACTCAATGCAGCAAGTCAGCGTTGCCACCCAGATACACAGCCGCAGTCTCCATTTGCTTTACATTATTTGTACATTATATGCCTGCTATGACAGGGTTACAAACAAAATTAGAAGATGGCACTAATCGGGCCCCTACTTGGCGCTATGCCCTCAATCATTTACACTAAGCTCATACGCTTCTTTGGTACCGAGACTTCAGGGAAGTAGATCCTCTCCCGTCAGGAAGCACTTTCGGAGCAGACGGAGCAGACAAATCCGAGTCTGCGCTGCTTGGCCAGACTAGAGGGGTCACCTGCTGCTGGTAGGTGTTTGTGTTGTCACACACACCGAGCTTGACGACGAATGTTGCCGTGCAACCTCTTCCGGTTCCTTCGCTGTCGATCCAGATGTGCCCTCCCATGAGACTAACAAACCTGCACAGAATTTTGCAGAGATGCTGATCAGTTCTAATGAGAATTGATGACAGAGTTATCACTAATTAGTCCTGTGGCAATGCATAAAATAAACAAATAATTGTGCTGCGTAGGAGGAAGTTGAGTCGCCAAAAACAACACCTGAACACCATTTTCAGAAGGAACTACAAGAAAGGAGCTGTAAGATCGAACTACCTCTTGCAGATGGCAAGGCCAAGACCACTACCATTCAACCCTCGGTTTCCTCCAGGATGAGCAAACTTTGTAAATACATGAGGTACATCCTGAGGACCAATTCCACAGCCTGTATCTTTTACCTGCAAAAGAGTGAAGTAACAGAGAATGTAAAGCAGCGCAACAGATAATAATTGCTAAGCATAGAAGTAAAACTCTGCTTCATGTGTCCATGCCATGTTCATAATCTGCAAATATAAAACCCTTTTCCAGTTGTAAGCATGAAACCCAGGACCAATAGTATCAACTAAAATGGAATTTATATAAGCATCTGTGCCTTGTGATATAGTTTGAGTAAATGTTGTGATACCTTGATTTGGCTGACCTAGGATTTTTTTTTTTTTTTTTTTTTTTGAAAGCTTTGTGTGTTAGCATTATAGAAGGCTCAGGGCTGGTCTAGAGTTCATGGAAGATTTGGTATAACACTTCTAATCCTAGACTATTTTATCTTTGGCTAAAAAGGCCTTAGGTCCTATGTCAGTACTGAGACTAATTCAATCCAAGCAACTCAAATAAAGCAACAAATGACTACAGTCAACTAATGTCGCAATGGTGTAAAGAAGTAATCAGATTCCAAAATCATCAGGCCCAACCAGTAGAAATTCTACACCATGAGATTATAGGAACAAAGAAAAAGATTTTAAAAAAACACCCCCACCAACAGCTACAGTATTATATGGTAGAACCAAATCATAGGTTTGGGGCTGGAATTTCTATTTCATTAGCCTTACCACAACTATGGCAGGTTGGGGATACATATAGGGTAACTTGCTTGCAACTTAAGAAAGCTACAACATATTCTAGAGATGCTAAAGTAAATGCTAAGGATAAAGATAAGGGCTGACACAGCCACCAACTACTCTAGATAAGTATCCTAGGTAGATAAGGACAAGACTTATAGCCTGTACACCCCACAGCAGAACGGCGTCGTTGAGCGCCGCAACCAGACCGTGGTGGCCACCGCCCGCGCCCTCCTCAAGCAGAGAGGGATGCCAGCAATCTACTAGGGGGAGGCGGTGATGATTGCCGTCCATCTCCTCAACCGCTCGCCCACCAAGGCCCTTGATGGCAAGATGCGGTACGAGGCCTGGCATGGGCGCAAACCGACGGTCAGCCACCTCCGCGTTTTCGGCCGGAGAATGCCAAGTCCGACGGAGAATGCTAAGTCCGGCCGTGTGTGGGCGAGGTAGCGAAGGCTCCCCACAAGACGCCGGCACTGCGTAGCGTCCACCTCCTCTGTCGTGCTATCGCGGCTCAGCTTCAGCCTCTCCTCCATCGGAGTGAGAGCTGGGTTGCAGTCGGTGAGCCCAGCTAGCTCAACGACGCGCTTGGCGTAGGCGGTCTGTCGAAGCGTGATCCCGGAGTCATCCTGGTGCACCTCGATTCCCATGTAGAAGGAGAGAGGCCCCAGGTCACTCATCTGGAAGGTGGCCTTCATCTCTTCCTTGAATGCCGCCACCTCCGCATCCTTGGTGTCGGTGACCACCAAGTCGTCGACATAGACACCCACCAGCAGAGCATTTCCTCCACTGCCCCGTCGGTAGATGGCCGCCTCGTGCGGGCTTTGCTCGAAGCCCATCCCCTTTAGCGTGGAATCCAACTTGGCATTCCACGCCCTCGGTGCCTGCCGCAAGTCATAGAGGGCATTGCGCGGTGAGCACCTGCCCTCCTTGCCGGGATCGCAAATCCCGGTGGTGGTGCATCGTAGACCTCCTTCAAGTCGCCCGTTAAGGAGCGCCGACTTGACGTCCATGTGATGAACACGCCAGCCCTCCCGGGCGACTAAGCGCAGGAGAGGAGTCGCCACGGACTCCATCCGTGCCACGGGAGCAAAGGCATCGTCGAAGTCGACCCCTCTGCTTTGCCGCAGAAACCTCGTGCCACCAATGAGCCTTGTGCTTGAGCGATGGCGCCGGCTTCATCCTCTTCAGCTTGTACACCCACTTAAGGGTGATCGCGCGGTGATCACGAGGAAGGTCAGCAAGCTCCCAGGTGCGGTTCTTCTCAACCGCATCCATCTCCAACTGCATCGCGGCGCGCCATGCCGCGTGTCTCTCGGCCTCTGCAAACGACCAAGGCTCGCCGTCGCCACACGCAAGGTGCAACTGCGCCTCCAGGTTGTGAGGCACCAGTCCCGGCACCGGCTGGTCGCCAAGAAGGTTCTCCATCGTACGGTACCGCAACGGCTCGCCGTCGTGGTATCGCGCTCGCGCGCCTCGTCGTGAGAGAGCGAGATGCGCGAAACTCAACCGGTGTGCTCGACACGTAGCCGGGTTGGAGTAGACGTGCGGAGAGGTGCTGCTGTCGGTCTTTGAGTGCGTGGCGGTGCTGTTGTGGTGGAGCCGTGAAGAAGAACTCATCGCGGCCGAGGTCTGGGCCGAGAGCGTGGTCTTTGTCGAATGCAGCGCCCGGGGGTCGGTGGAGGCTCGGGGCTGGGGTAGACGCGCGTCGAAGAAGAGCCGCCTACTCCCAGCTCCCTCGAAGTGGACGTACTCGGCAGTGAACGTACTCGACAGTGAAGTCGTCGTACGTCGGAGCCGAGCCGTCGTCCACCGCCTTGTCCCACGCCCATCCTCACCCTTCGTTGAACACAACGTTGCGCGCCGTGCGCACACGCTGTCTTCGGGTCGAGGATGCGGTAGGCCTTCGAGCCCTCCGCGTAGCCGATGAACACTCACGGAGTGCTCCTGTCATCGAGCTTGCTGATGTGGCCAAGCTCCTTGGCGAACGCGAGGCAGTCGAAGACCCGCAAGTGGGAGACCGCCGGCTTGCGCCCATGCCAAGCCTCGTCACGGCGTCCCCGCCGTCGAGCGCCTATGGTAGGCAAGCGGTTGAGGATGTAGCGGCCGACACCACCGCCTCTCCCGGAAGGCAGCCGGCATCCCTCTCCTTGAGAAGGGCCCGAGCCATCCCCACAACCGTCTGGTTGCGCCCGCTCGACGACGCCGTTTCTGCTGCGGGTTGTCTGGTAGCGAGTAGTGGCGTTGAATGCCCATATCAGCAAAAGATGACGCGCGCGAATTCGGTAATGTCGTGAATTTGCCGCCGTTATCCGGTCTTGCGACGCAGCGTAACTATGAGCGACTTCGCCTCATGACGACCTCTGGCGCTGATGGCGTCCGCAGCCTCTCCGTTCTTTGCCAAGGACCATCACCCACATGTAGCGGGAGAGGTCGTCCGACGGCGGCAAGAAGTAGCGTCGTCCTCCGGTGTGGCGGTGTCACCGAGCCACACAAGTCCTCAATGCACAAGCTCGAGCCTCTCCTTGGCTCGGCTTCGCCCATTGGGGAAAGAAGTCGCCTCTGCCCGTCAACACGCAGACGCGTCGCAGAAGCTGCTCCACATGGTCGAGGCACGGTAGGCCTCGCACCATCTCCGTGGGCACCTTGAGCCGCCAGGGCCTCGAAGTGAAAAGGTGCCCGGCGCTTCGTGCCTTACAAGCCACGCCTCGTCGTCCCGACGAAGCGGCGAGACGAGAGGGTTGTGCCACCTACGTTAAGGGCGTGGACGAGAGTCGATTTGCGCTTCTAGTTACCTTGGCGAGAAGGTGACGGCGGCGATCCCAAATCCTCATGACTCCATCCTCAACCACCACGCTTGAACCGTTCTCATCCGGTTGTCCCAAGGCGATGATAGAGTTCCTCAACGGGGATGTAGTAGACTCCGGTGAGCGTACTGTGCTCACTTTGACACCGCAGCGGTGAAGATGATGAGCCGACACCCTTGATCTCCACGCCGGAGGCATCCCCAAACTTGCGGAGCCTTGGGCGCTAGAGTCAAGCTTTCGGTGAAGAACTCCGTCGACCGGTCATGTGATGGGTGGCGCGGTGTCGAGCACCACCGTCGGTCTTGTCGTTGCTTGGCCGCCGCGAGGAGGGCGTGTGCTTTTGGCTCTCGTCGAGGTGGAGGAGAGCCCACGTGCGGCCGTCTGCGTGGAGGTAGCTCGATGCTTGCATGTGCCATGAACAGAGCCGACTCCACATGCGGCGTGGGCTTTGGCAGCGTCGTGGTTTGTCGGCGATCCTTGGCCCAATGGCCAAGCCGGCGCGATTATGGCGAGTGTTGTCTCGTCTTGGCTTGTGCTTCTTTGGCGGCGGCGCCACAGGCGCCTCATGGGCATCACCCTCGGCAGACGTCCTCGCGCCCGACACAGGCATCTATGCCTTGCGCGGCTTGCCACGCTTATGTCCGCTGTCGCGGAAGAAGGCTTCCCTTCTTCCGGTTACCTTAGCGAGCAAACCCACCGCTCCCGAGTGAGAATGAGCTTCCCGCCAGATGGTGATGGGTCTGAGAGAGATCGTGGCTCATCGGCCGGCGACCTTGAGGCGACCTATCGCCTCCTCGATCGACATCGTGGAGAGATCCAGCAGAGACTTCGTCGAGCGAGCCATCCGCTTGTACTTCTCGGGAACGCAGCGGAAGAGCTTTTCGGCGCCTCTCTCCTCGCCATAGGTGTCATCGCGAACTACACCATCTTACGCAATGAGTGTTGAGGCGGAGAGCAAAGTCATCAACGTCCTCACACGCTTGAAGGTCGAGTTCTCCCACTCCTTGCGAGTGCTTGCGGTGTGGGACTTGCGCGCGCGGTCGGCTGCCGATGCGTCTTGCCGCGGCGATAAGCGTCCCTAAGCCTCCTTGGCGATCCGCTTGTTGGTAGCGAAGCGCATCTCGGGCGGGGCTGCGCGGCGATGAGGGCATCCAGCGCTTGTCGATCTAGGTCGTGGTCGGCGTCACCGTCTTCGGACCGCCTCCCACATGTGCCGCGCTGGAGCTTTACCTCATCACCGCAGCCCACTCGGCGTAGTTGGTCTTAGTGAGGGTAGGCCACCACCCGCCCGAGGCCGGCGTCCCGACGACACTGAGCCCGTGGTAACCACGGTGCCGTCCGGGAGAGAAGCTACTGCCGCTGTGAAAGCCGCGCTCTCCATCGACCCGTCCGCCACCGTCGCCGTCGCGCCTCCTCCAGAGCGCCACCACCGTCGCGCGCCCTCCTCGAGCGCCGCGCCGCAAGCGCGTCGCGCTTTGTCGAAATTGCCGCCGCGCGTCGTGGCGTCTTGCAGCGCGCCATCGCCACCGCAGCGCTCATGCGCCTCCCTCCCAATGCAGCTCGAGGTCCACGTCGTCGGCGCTGTCGTCGGCGAGAATGGAGCTGCGATCTTTGCCAAAAAACCTCGACCTCCGCCATTGCCACCCTCGGCGCCCTTGCCGCCGCCGCGGCTGTCTCTGCCGCCGCTTCGCTCGCGTTCTCTCTATTATGGCAAGTTCGGCCTCCTGCCGCGCGCGCCACGTTCGAGGTGACCGAAGGCCGAGAGCTATCTGCGGACATGACGCTGACTGGGGGCTGCTGGCGTGGCGAGGGGAAGGCGCCAGACGATGCGTGCGTGAGGGAGAGGAGTGAGCAGGAGCGGCCGAAGACTCTCTTTGCTCCCACTGGGCTGGAAAGGAGATGAGCGAGGAGATGCTCGAGCTACGAGATAATCTGACTCGATACCGGGTTGTTAGTCATCAATTCTTACTCTTAGTAGTAGCGAAATTCTTACTCTCATTGAGAGAGAGTTGTGGCAATTTTTCGGTTTTTTTCTCACACAAATGACATGCCAACTTTGAGGGGTTGGGGATACATATTATATCTCGCTAGCCGTAAAGCATATGCCAAGATGCTAGATGTTGTCCTAGATGCTAAAATGTTGTCCTAACCGGTCAAGGATGTTGTCCTTGATGGGCGAAGAAGACCACCATCTTTCGCAGCCCCCACAAAGACCAAATGCAACACAGAGACTTATCCCATCGACCTCGCGTTCGCCAAGGAGCTCAACCACGTCGGCAAGCTTGACGACCGTGAGCACGCCGGGTCTTCATCGGCTCGCGGAGGGCATCAAGGCCTCACCGCATCCTCGACCCTCGACGACCTGACAAGCGTCCGCATCTCCCGGGCGTCATGTTCGACGAAGCGGGCGGGCTTTTGGGACAAAGGCGGTGGACGACGGCTCGACTTGACTCTCGAGACTTCGTGGTTGACTACGTCCCACTTCGAGGGAGCCGGGAGCTAGCGGCTCATCTTCACCGAAGCTCGTCTACCTCGGCTCCTAGCTCGCCATCGCCTCCCGCGAGTCCACCGCCTACACCACCACCGGGTCCTCCACCACTGTGCACCACCATCGCCCGCCCGCTCTCCTACACCGACGCCCGGCCTCCTACACCGGCTCTCACTCTCCCGCACCGCGCCCCACGTCTACGAGATCGGCACCAGCGGCTTGTTTCGTGGCAGGCGGCAAGGTGGAGTTCGCCACTCCGTTGTTCGACGACAAGGATCACGTCGATGCCTACCACCACGACGAGCCTCTGCGCTGCCGGCCACCGCGCCATCACCCTTAAGTGGGCCTACAAGCTCAAGAAGGATGAGGCCGAGGCGATGATCAAGCACAAAGCGCGCTGGTGGCGCTGCTGGTTCGTCAAAGGCGGAGGAGTCGACTTCGATGACGCCTTCGCGCCCGTCGCGCGGATGGAGTCCGTTTGTCTCCTCACGCTGGCGGCCCAGGAAGGATGGCGTGTGCACCACATGAACGTCAAGTCCGCCTTCCCCAACGGTGACCAGAAGGAGGTCTACGTCCACCAGCCGCCGGGATTCGTCATCCCCGGCAAGGAGAACAAGGTTCTTCGCCTGCGCAAGGACCTCTACGGCTTGCGGCAGGCGCCCCGAGCTTGGAACGCCAAACTGGACTCCACCCTCAAGCAAATGGGGTTCCAGCAGAGTCCTCACGAGGCTGCTGTCTACCGGCGGGGCAAGGGTGGCAATGCCCTGTTGGTAGGCGTCTACGTCGACGACTTGGTGATCACTGGCACCAAGGAGGCCGAGGTGGAGGCATTCAAGGAGGAGATGAAGGCCACCTTCCAGATGATTCAAGGAGGAGATGAAGGCCACCTTCCAGATGAGCGACTTGGCCCTTCTCTCCTTCTACCTGGGGATCGAGGTCCATCAGGACAGCTCCGGCATCTCCCTTCACCAGACCGCCTGCGCCAAGCGCATCGTCGAGTTGGGCGGGCTCACCGGCTGCAACCCAGCCTACACTCCCATGGAGGAGAGGCTGAAGCTGAGCCACGATAGCACGGCCAAGGAGGTCGACGCCACGCTTGATCTGACGTATTGTGGGCGACCTTAACTACCTCGTCCCACACGCGGCCCGGACCACAGCGTTATTGCATTAGCTACGTCAGTCGGTTCATGCAGCGACCGACGACGGAGCATCAGCAGGCTGTCAAGAGGATCCTCCGCTACGTCGAGGGCACCGCCGACTACGGCTTGCACTACCCGAGGTGTCCAGGAGCAGAGCACTTCATCGAGTACAGCGATAGCGACCTCGCCGGCGACATCGACACGAGCAAGAGCACCAGCGGGACACTATTCTTCCTCGGCGAGTGTCTAATCAGCTGGCAGTCGGTCAAGCAGCAAGTGGTGGCTCTGTCCAGTTGCGAGGCGGAGTACATCGCTGCCACAACCGCTTCGACTCAAGCTCTCTGGTTGGCTCGGTACTGGGGCGATCTCTGGCGAGAGACGCAGCGGTGGGAGCTCGTGGTGGACAACAAGTCCGCCTTGGCCTTGGCAAAGAACCCGTCTTCCATGAGCCGCAGCAAGCATATCCGAATAAAGTACCACTTCATTAGGAGTCGCTTGGATGAGGGAGCATCAAGGCCGGCTACATCAACACCGGATCACTCATGACCTTCTCACCAAGTCCCTTGGGCGGGTCAAGTTCCAGGAGCTTCGCGCCAGGATTGGGATGGTTCAAATTCCCCAGAAGGCGCCACACAAGACTTAGGGGGAGAATGACAGCTATAAGTCTTGTCTTTATCTACCTAGGATACTTATCTAAAGTAGTTGGTGGCCGTGTCAGCCCTTATCTTTATCCTTAGCATTTACTTTAGCATCTCTAGAATATGTTGTAGCTTTCTTAAGTTGCAAGCAAGTTACCCTATATGTATCCCCAACCTGCCATAGTTGTGGTAAGGCTAATGAAATAGAAATTCCAGCCCCAAACCTGTGATTTGGTTCTAACATTATCGGTACCCATCAGGGTACTAATAGTCAGCTTCTAACTGAACAGGTACCGCCTATTTTTTGTAAACTTGGTAGGAAGAATTGGACGATTGTACATGGACCTACATAGAGCTGACGTCCACGTAGTTTATGGACAAATGGACTATCAAGCAACTTAACAGTCTAGCCAAGTTTAACGATGCATATGCAATTAATGACCAAGACACATGGTTAAAAGGAACAGATAACAATTCATACAAGAAAATGCACATATTAATCAGGATTTTCAAAAAAGAAAAAGAAAAACTGTCTTTTACTACTGAATAGCATTAAAGACTTCATTGTGAGGCTAATATAGTGGATCCAAAACCAGAGTACATGAGAAATTCAGTTGCACATAAGGAGACAAGACAACAGAATATAAATGTTGTACAATGAAATAGTTGAGATTTTTGATAGGCTGCAATTAGGGTCCATGAAACTGTTACTTGGGACAACCAAATGAATGGCTCCAGTTTCATTTTTTAATTTTGGAGCTCTGCACAGCGCATACAAGTCAATTTTGAATTTATTATTATTATTATTATTAAAGAGAGAACAATGCATACAAATAGATTATTCAAACAAGCCTTTCTAGAATATTACCTGAACTTTCAAATAGAAATGGTCATCACTTGCAGTTGGATGAAATTCTGGGGTTCTGAACTCTCTCAAAGAGTCAGCCTTCACAATGGAAGCTACAAGCGTGATGTGTCCCTCCTTGGTAAACTTTACAGCGTTGCCAGAGATGTTCAGAATAGTTTGCATGAGTCTCTTTTCATCACCAATAGCACATAACGGCAAATCTGGTGCCAACATAACCGATACAGATAGCCTCTTGATAGATGCAATTGGTTTAATGAAACTCATCACCTGTAATAACAAATAGAAATTTTAGTTAATAGCGCCGTGTATCCTGATGTTTGATACTCCATCTGTTACCAATTATAGGGCACTTTCTTTACCTAAATCAAACTTCTCTAACTTTGACCAAACTTATAGAAAAATACACCAACAATAACATCAATTAGTTTCATTAATTCTCCATAAAATATGTCTTATTAGTGCATTTATTTGAATTTGTAGAAGTTGACATATTTTTCTAAAAACTTGGTCAAAGTTAGAAGTTTGACTTAGAGCAAAGCTAAAGTAACCTATAACCTGGACCGGAAAGAATATTAGAAAACTGATGGTGCATACTTCTTTGAAAACAGCATGAAGATTGAATGCTTTAATCTCCAATTCAAGGCTTCCATCCTCGAGCTTGGAAAGATCCAGCACATCATTGATGAGTGTTGCTAACAGATTGCTGCTTTTCAGTACTGTTTCCACCATTAGACGCTGCTCAGGAGTAAGCTCAGTTTCCAAAAGCAAGGAGGAAAGGGCTATTATTGCATTCATGGGTGTTCTCATTTAAGTGATTCATAACAGCTAGGAAATCATTACGAGCACGGATAGCCATCTCAGCCTCTCTTGAGCTAAATCCAAGGCAACATTCTGCTCCATTAGTAAATCACGTGCTCTCATGGACTCTTCAAGAATAGCCGCATGAGATAGTGCAACTGCTACCTGATGAAGAAACAAAAAAAGGAACATAAACAATAGATCTGCTAGCAATACCAATTTAAACTTTTAACTTCCAGAAAGGTATAGATATTGATAAACAAGCAACAGCATGTCTCTTTTGCAGCTGGGTAGTTGGGTTCAGAATCCTATGCTTTCTAAGAACTTATGTATTGATTTGAAGGTATTCTTGTCATCATTATATTGCACCTGTGAATATAATTTCCTGTTCAATTAACGGATGCCTTAAATGACTGATCATGATCACTGAGCGGTATCATATGAATCTGAAAGATGTAAACACGTTTTTCCTCTCCTACAAGCATATACTCCCTTCATCCGGAAAAGAATGTAATTCTAGCATAGTACCGAGTCAAACCGTCTTGAGTTTGACCAAATTTATTTAAGAACAATAACAATATTTACACTATCAAATAAGTATTGTAAGATTCGTCATGGAATATATTTTCAAAATACACCTATCTAATGTCATACATATTGATAATCTCTTTTATAAACTTAACCGAAGTATAGATAGTTGGAATAGAGACACAAGTAAATTTATATCCTATTCAGGATGGAGGTAGTATGTTATAGTAACCATAGCAAGAGATAGAGCACGAACCTGATCAGCAACGACCTCAACAAGCTCCAATTCATGCACATGCCATTTCCTTGCACTATCAGATGGAAGCATCAAAACCATGATTGCAAAGCTTTTCGCTGAAAGCTCAGGCCAATCATTTATTTGGAAGTTTGAAAGGTGTAGAAGAGGTACGCGGACTGCAGCCACTTCTGGCGGAACATATCGCCCTGCAAGAGGTCGAATCCGCGCCAAAGGAGATGTGTGGGGTATTATAATTGCCCGGTTGCTACTGAACACTTGATTGACGACAGGAAGATTAATGGGCACCGATGATCCGACAGTAATCTGGTGGCGCAGTATGAGAAAGCTGAAGGCTTGAACCACTTCGAGATGGCATCCACAATGCACATTCTTCCAGGCCCAAGGTCCTTCCTAGCTCAACAAGAGTAGTCTTCAAAATTGTATGTCTATCAAGAGTACTTCTGATTTCATGTGTGAGCATCCTAACATGTCTACCAGTCTCCTCCTGCGTCCTTATCAGTCCCATCTCTCTATCAAGTTCTTCGGCTTTATTCTTCAGGAACAACTCCCTAGTTTTCACGCTCAACAAGTCGGGGATGATATGAACAAGCATCAAAGCAGTTGCACAGGACACAACTGCTGTAGAAACCTTTGCTATGGTCATGACCATCGCAACGGTCTTTGTATGTGTGGTGAAAGTCCACAGGTTTATCAGATGGGTTGCCCCACAAAGAACTATAAACGCACCAAACTGGATCAAGACCCATCTGTACGGGAAGAAGGATGACTTCTTCACAAAATATATGAGCTCCAATGGAATCGAGAAGTGCGAGGGGCTATGAAGAAGTCTGAGATGTACTGATACTTGACGAAAGATCATCTGTAGGCCATAGTGGCTCGATGCAATCACATCCGTCCATCCAGCAAGCTTAGTTATTGCATCAGTCCTCACAACATTTCCTGCAGAAGAAACATATTGATATATTGTTTTTGCCACACCATCTCCGGGATCTCAAGTAGCAGAAAATGCATAGCAATTTGCATTTGAATAGTAAGCCCATAAACGCGGCACGCATACTAGCAGAGCATGCAAATCGCACAAGATGTGCCATTCACCACTTCGATTCCCATTTCCAATTCCAAACGGCCCTCCGCCAAGGGCGGACCCAGTAAAGGACATGGGTGTACATGTGTACACCCGATAACTTTTTCCACGAAAATCGGAGTTAGTAGGCATAATACATGTATATACCTGTAATTAGATCAGATCCGAATACAAATAGCCCAATAGCTTAAGTTAGGGTTTGGGTGCTCGGTTTCGAACAGCAGGAAGGGAGGAGAAGGGGGCGGCATACCTGGTGGCTGCTCGTCGCCGGCGAGTAGTCCGACGAAGACCTGGGGGCGGCGGGGGCGGCGGCGGCGGTCGCCCGGTCGTCGCCACGAGGAAGAGAAAAAGGCACGCGGGGTGAACGGGGGAAGAAAAAGGCAGGGTGAAGGCAGTTCGGGTTGGTTAGAGTCGTCTTGCTTTGGTTCTGATCCACCCAGCGTTAGACCCTCGCGTTCAGAACACTTGCTTCTGTCTTGATCTGAACGCTATCTTCTGCAGTGGAGTAGTTAAGCACTGTCCACTGTGTCTACATTGACTTGTACTGTATCTATAAGATCATGCGGCTACAACCACAGCATGAAAAATCACATCCGATCAGGCTGTAAACAGGGGCGAAGGTAGGCCAAAAAGATGACCAGGGTTGTCTCCACGTGCGTTGAGATGGATTTGACGTGAAAACTAAACTAATTTCCACACTAATTGACGTGAATGCATGGGCATTCAAAGAAGATCTTATGGGCTCGTTCGGCTGGTGAGAAAACAAGCCGAATTTTACTGTTTTCGGATGAAACATTGTTTACACTTTCATAAATTTCTTCATATTTCTCCAAATTCTTCCAAATGAACAAGGCCTATATGAGTCATTAGCTGCTATAAACAATTATTTTTTTTCACAGAAAATAAGAAATTTCATTGAGGTCGGTTGACCCAGCAACCAAGACTAGATCCATCCTCGGCTTTAAGGCCAGTCTCAGTGGATAATTCCATGACGTTGTTTCCAAGACAATAAAATATGGACGAAACATTCACTTTCAATGCAAAGTTTCATTCTATAGTTCCATACACATTTAATTTCATGACTCATAGATAGTTGACAATCGTGCCAAGGGAGTTTCATCTCATTTCTTCTCTCTCTTCTTAAATACATTGTCATGTCATAAAAAATACCTATGTGGCAACTTTTTTAATGCAAATAAAACTCACATAAAACTCCTATCGAGACTTGCCTAAGTTATGACCTCGTTTTTTTGTCTATGATTATATGCATACCTTTTTATACACTCTAATGAAATTTATGCATTTTTAAAACTATATTTGTTTTTTTTTACTTTCCGATTCGAGAGTCCTTTTAACCTTTTACTATTTTAAATAAAATTCCTTAGTTTCTATAGTTTTATAGAAAAAAAACGCATAATTATCTACAATATCAAACTAGACTCATTAGACCCGTTTCCTATGAAATATATTTTTGATATTGCATTTGTTTGGTATTGTATATGTTGGTATAATGTCTCTACGAATCTGATCAAAATTATAATAATTTAAAATGGATGGATAAAAGGCTAAGTGAAATGTACTTTTTTTTTGGGAAAGGCTAGGCGAAAAATGTGGCAGAACCGTCCAAAATAGCATACTTACGGAGGCGCTCGTCTTCCATCATACACTAAGCACCCCGAAAGCAAACTACAGCGAGCGGTGTCCGTCGGGCACACCCTGAGAGAGAACCCGAAAGATCCACATTTTTCCCAAGGATCCAATAATGAGAACGAGTTACAACACAAGTCCATTTCATACATTAGAGTTTCTTAAAAAGTATATTATTACAATACCAAATATCAGAATGCGGAATGACAACAGCGGAATTTAAAAATAACATCTAGCGGTAGGGCGCGAGGATTCCGTCTGAGCCCACCAGAAGGATCCTCCACACAAAAGTACTTTTTCAAGCATCACCTGCAACAGGGGTAAATAAACACTGAGTACACAATGTACTCGTAAGACTTATCCGACTAGTGGAAATAATTTCCCGACTCCAAGGAATATGATAAGCTTTATTGCTTGCTGGTTTTCTTTAGCAGAAAACGATACTAATAGTGAGTCTTTATTTATGTATTATTATTATTAGCCGTATTAAGTTATCATCTAGCCAGTCTATATAAGCACTTGTTCTACTTTCAAGTAGGAGTTGAGCAATCAATTCTGTTTCTTCTCTTTTTTACTTTAAGTTCTTACTACGGTGCTAAACACGAGACAAGCCGTACCGGATCGCTCGGCGATTCGCGAATCAATATACCCAGCTGGGTGCTCCGAAAACACACGCCCCGCTTGTACCTCAGGCACAAGCAGGACTAACCCATCACCCTCCTTTCCCGGGTGTCTAGTTCCCCGTCCAAACTTGGACTCCAAGCCCCCATATCCTGAGTCCCGGACTCAGTGTGGTGCAAGGACCTCCACCACCTCCTCTTCCTATCAGTCGGTCCGGAAAGAGCCGGATCCACGACAAGAGAGCAACAAGTCTTTCCTGCGCCCATATCCAAGTATGTGCTCGGGACAATAAATCTGTGACTTGCCCACGATGCCTTATGCAACGACTGGTCCTTAATCGACACAGACAGGGAAAAAAGTGTAACCGAGTTATGCCCTGTTGGCCGCAGGACACAACTCTTTACACCCACCAATACCCAAACCATATTCATGTCCGGTCATCATTTACCTTTCCATCGTTTTATCATGAGTGTTCATATTTTATCACCTATTTGCGAATAACGGTAGGTTACTCACGTTATCGATATCCTGAACATAGCAGCTACTCGACCTGTATTAGTATAACTCATGGGTAGATATATTTATGCATGTAGTTTTCATAAAATGCCTGCAACTTAAATGCACATCACATATATATATTCAGTGATCATAAAAATATGGGTTATGCACCGGGGCTTGCTTTGGGCAGGCGCGGGGTCAGCAGGGTCAACACCAACAGGTTCCTGGGCTTCCTCCTGTGCGAAGATCTCCTCCTCGTACTCCTCGATCACCTCGTCGTACTCCGGCTTGGCGACGGACACGAAATCTACCAGTTCGTGATCTACATGAAATGATGATGCAATGGTTAGAAATATAACATCAGCAGCTTTTACAATAACAGTACATTAATTTAACTACTAAGCTATAGCTATCGACCATGGTGCTAAGTTATCTATTGCTATCGACAACAAGCATAAAGTACGGCATTCATCATTATTATAGTCACTACCGATATTCTTACTCCTAGCGTGTTGATTTACGCTATATACAAATAAACAAGGGTAATATCTACTCTATTTAACAACACATTCTAAGACCATAAAATTTACAGCAAGTACATAATAACCTAACGAGTCTACTGTAAAATTTTTAAAGCTAAAACTATTACCGATTTGCCACAATAATTCCTACAAATATTAATCTATATAATGCTAAGCTTTCTAATTAGGCTTTATGAGCCTATCATCATAACAGCTAAATGTGAACTAACTATACTAATAGATAGATGATATTTTTATGAACCTAACAAACTTGGTTTCACTATTTTGGACAACTACACAATTTACTACAAATTATCCAAGTTTAGCTTGAAAAACTAAATTGAATAATAATTAACCAATTTACTGAAAACATGAACTGAAATCTACTTTGCATTACGGTTCGGCTCGGCCCGAAGAACGCCTTGCTTGACCAAGATGGCTTATGCGAGCCTTGAAGAAAGTGCGGTCTTGAAGCGGTAGGCAGCAATGGCAAAGAAGTGGGCGCTGGCATGTGGCAGCAACGCAACTAACGCGCAACAGCAACGGCGAAGCGAAAATGGCAATGAAGGCGAACGCGAGCCACAGCTCGGCGTATTTCAACGTGTTCTTGACTTCTTTTCCTATACGAAAATGGCCCTAAACACAAGTGATGCTAGGATGACATCATGCTGACGTCAATAAGCTAATAACAGCGGTACGCACCGCCGACTGCTCTGCTTGTGCGTGGTTCGCTGGCCGCGGAGAAGACGCTATACGCGGTGGAACTTCGAATGAGGTGGGCAGTGCGATGAGCAGCTGGAGGAGAAACTAGCAGGGCAGTGAATCGCCACGGGGTGCTATGAATCGATGGCTGGCTCGTGGCGCGCACCCGTCCGGTCTTAAGGACCCGATGGAGCGACGATTTGGAATGGAGGCACTATGTGGCGGTACCTGTAGCGCGGTGGAGTCGGTTGCGTAGCCAGCGGCCCAGCGGAGCTGAGCAAGCGACGATTTTGATTGGATTACTGCGGTCACGGCGAATTAAATGAAGGAGGTCCCGCCGGTCATGGCGACAACGGAGACAGTGGCGTTGGCACGGCTCGGCTTGGCATCGCCGCAGAGCTGTCAACGCAAGGTGCCAACGTCTACGAACGACATGGACAGCGAGGTACGCTCTAGGCGGCTGTCCGCGCGGCCGACCCGCAAGAAGACGAAGCACGGGCCTACGTCACCGTGGACAACGCCAGACAAGAAACCAGAGCGCGATGCGACGCCGAAGTGATGGTGGCAGCAGGCGGTCGTCCGACGCGAAAAGTACCGCCATGGCGAGTCAACGGACCATCTTGGACGCGCGGCGATGGGGGCGTGTAAGCGTAGCTAAGGTACCGCGCCAAGTGATGGCGGCGGCGTAATGATAGGACCCGTGCGTGAAAAGCGCTTGCATGCGGTGGCAAGCAAATAGAGGCCTCCGTGGTGACCATGCGGTCGGCGTTAGCTTGTCCGAAATAGGTGACGAAACACGATTTTTAAAACGGTCGCAAAACTCTATCCGAAGGTCCAAACGCCGAACTATTTCTTTTAGACGCAAGAGGGTACGTAGGATTATCGACCCATGCCACGACACCATGCTACTTTCTAAGCCGATTGCTCTACAAAAACTGCCGAACGTGGCTTCGTCGACCCGTTTTTAACTTACGCGAAATAACTTAAACTTCGAACGGTTTCGCGTCAATATCCAATTCCGACCTACTTGTTTCATTGTCGACTACTGAGTACGTACTACATTTTTTATTAAAGTTCACATACACTCTCTACATCATTTTTATTCGATAAGAATTCGTTTAGAATACTAAACAATATAAAGTGACATGAAACTTAACATTTATTTTTTGTTTCGGATAAACGTTTCAAATGACGTATATTGATTTATACTCTAAATTACACACATGTACAAACAAGCATGATGCTAATGCAGTGTTTTAGCAAAAACATTACAATGTAACACCAAGGGTGTTACAAATCTACCCCCCTAAAACAAAATCTCGACCCGAGATTTCGTGTGCCTAGTGTCAGAAAGATACAGGGAAATATATTTTTTGCGCAGCAAATAACTATCCGAGCCGGCGAGAAGGTGGGGGTAATGCTCTAATATGAAGCTCTCCTGTTCCCATGTGGCTTCATCTTCTGAATGATTTTGTTATTGCACCTTGTAGAATTTTATCACTCTGTTCCTGGTCACTCTCTCCTTCTCATCCAAGATTTTGATAGAGTGCTCCACATAAATTAAATCTGGCCGGAGGGGAAGTCCTTCTATTTCTACCGCTTCATCAGAAACCCGCAAATACTTTTTCAGTTGTGATACATGAAACATATTGTGTACTGCAGAGAGAATATCTGAAAGTTGTAGACGGAAGCCGCCAACAACTAGAAAAAAGAAAAGAAAATAAAAACAGAAATGCTATACAACACACGTGTGTTTTAACATAAAAAAACACATAGAGATTTTTTTATCTATGACGTTTAGGGCCCACATATTATAACGAAACACATAAACATCTCTGCGATCCAGTGATTTGTCCTTAAAAAAAACATTTCTTATGATTTGTGATTGTGCGAAGGTAAAAAAAAGCTGGGCGTTAGAGATAGAAGAAGGGTGGAGGCCGTTGAATCTCGATGATATAATGTAAAAAAAATAAGTGTGGATGCATACGAGAGAAAAAAAAGCTCCAACCTCCTTCGACGCGCGCGAACAACTGCGCGCCGCCGAAAGTGACCGCCCACATGCGCGCACGGGAATCCTCTCGTCCGCGCGGGCTCGGGTCGTTCACGGGCTCACGGCTCACCGCCGCCCGCCCCACCGCCACCCCGCCACCCGCCACCCGCCCCGCGCTACCGCGACCGCCCACAATAAAAGCACGGGACGGGAATCCTCTCGTCTGCGCACGGCTCACGCCGCACGGCCGCTCGGCACCGCGCTGCCAACACTTTCCCCACCTGGCAGGCGGATCGAGCCGCCCGCGCATCCGTCCCGTCGCTTTCCATCATCGACGCCGCCGCCGAAAGGCCGAGAGACCGAGGGAATTTACCCCAATGGCGGGGAATTTCGGCGTCAGACGACGGGGGAACGAGGGAAACGGAGGAGAGAAAAAAATCTCGGGGCCGGGTGGGGGCGTGGCGCGCGCTGGGATTGGTCGGCGCCAGCTCGGCCACTAGCGGGGGGCAACGTGGTGGTGGTTCCCGTCCTTCTCCCCTTCCCTCCCCCACCGGGCCCTAGTCCCCTTCGCCCTGCCTGTCTGTCCGCCTCGATCTCCTGCTCCCTTTCCCCTCCTCTCCGGCTCCCTCCCTCCTCTCTCTCTTCTGTTATCTACCTGGAGCTGTGATCCTCTTCCTGAGGCGCGGGCGTTGGATGGATACGTGGTTGGCTCCGCGCCATCTCCTTCGGTGGCGATGAGCTCCGGCTGCTGCTGCTGCTGCTGCTGCTTATGAGGTATGATGCTTGCGAGACCTGTCCATGGTTGCTTGCTTCGCTTGGCTTAGAGATGCTCTTGCCTGGGCAACCAGTTGCGCGGAAACTCAAGCACCTAGGATAGGATTGGTGGAATTCGAGCAGTTCTTACAAGTTTCCAAGCTATGTGATTAAAGTGTTTTTTTCAAAAGCATCTTTTCCACGTAGAGATAATGTTTTTTAGTTCATGAGTTGTCAGTTTCTACTGAAGGGAGACCCACCACTTGCCATGCTCGCTGAAATTCTGTGTTCAAGGCCATGCTTTTCTATTTGTATTATATGAACTATAATATATTTGAAGTTACTTTCATGGTAATGATTCAGTGGAGTAATCTAGCACGAGGGTTAATTCCAGTGGAAATCCATCAGGAGTGGATCTCGTTGGGATCAAGTCTGTATTTCCTTTCAGTGAGTGTTTATTTTCGGTCCATCGTGTATAACAACCTTTGATCTTGTTTCAGATCTTGCTGAATGAATTTTGTGGTTTTTGAGCCGTCCTGGTAAACCTTGGCATGGCCGAGACAAGCGCAGCCCAGAGGTGTGCTTATCTCATCTTTACCGTGAAACATGCCTTTTCTTTTGTTTTAGTTCTAATGTCTAATGGAAGGCTATGCAGTGTTTTTTCAAAAGAAAAAAAAGAAAAAAAAACAACAACTAAACACTGCTAACTGTGCTACTTCAAGATTAAAAAGGGCAGCCCCAGTGCACGAAGCTCCCGCTTGCGCAGGATCCAGGGAAGGGTCCGACCACTTGGGTCTTTTGTACGCAGCCTTTCCCTGCATTTCTGCAAGAGGCTGTTTCCAGGACTTGAACCCGTGACCTCATGGTCACAAGGCAGCAGCTTTACCACTGTGCTACTTCAAGATTCTTATAAAAAAATATATTTTGCAATTTGGTTGTCAGAAATCTTGGAAGCACTACTATATAGGCATTCTAGTATAAATTGTGAGTGCTGGTAGCCTTATCTTGTCTTTCTGTTTAGGGGGAATACCCTTCCAAATGGTGACATCTATGTTGGCAATTTTGCTGGTTTAGTTCCTCATGGATTTGGAAAGTATATGTGGACAGATGGAACTCTTTATTATGGCGAGTGGGATACAAGCAAGATGACTGGCAGAGGAGTAATTCAGTGGCCTTCAGGTGCTTCATATGATGGAGATCTCTGTGGAGGTTTCATTGATGGAACAGGCACTTTCAAAGGAGTTGATGGATCTGTTTATAAAGGTTCTTGGAGGATGAACAAAAAACATGGAATGGGCCCAATGGTTTATGCCAACGGTGATACTTACGAAGGTTTATGGAACGAGGGCTTGCCAGATGGATTTGGTAAATATACATGGGTTGATGGCAACATCTACATTGGAGGCTGGAAATCTGGTAAAATGAATGGCCGAGGAGTGATGCAATGGACAAATGGCGATACTCTTGACTGTAATTGGCTTAATGGACTGGCTCATGGAAATGGTTTTTGTAAATATGCATCAGGAGCATGTTACATTGGTACATGGGACACAGGACTCAAGGATGGACATGGTATGTTTTATCAACCAGGAAGTAAAATGCCTTGTAATCTTGAAGTGTCTGAGTGTGTAACAGATCACGATATTTCAAGTTCTTGAGCTCTGGTAATGAAAATATCAATAGTGGCTTATTATTTTATTCCAAGAACTTTGCAACGCATGGAGACTACGTAGCCTTTTCCATTGGCCCAGACGTATTTCAAATGGCACCACACCAGTTTTGATGATAATTCTGGAAACAATTTGTTACAAGATTCATCTACTGAGCCCTTGGCAACTGATAATTGTGTCCAAGATAGTGGAGTTGATAAAGTATTGGTCTATGAAAGAGAATATGTACAAGGAGTACTTATCTCGGAAAAGCCAAAATGCCATGATTCCGGAATGCTGGATAGCGGTAAAACACAGGAGCATACCTGGCAAAAGCAATCTGGAGGGCCCATGGAGACTATTTTCAAAGGCCACAGGAGCTATTACCTAATGCTTAATTTGCAACTTGGCATTAGGTAAGTGCTTAATTGTAATGATGTCTTCGATTATGTGTCATCTTAATTCATTTTTGTCAAGAATAGATTCTTGTAGTTGTTTTCTTTTTCTGTATCATTACATTTATACTGTGTATCTATTTAGGACAGTTGTACTCTCCACACAGATATGATACATCTGAAAGAAGCATATGCATAGCTTTCAGACACAGAACTCACATTATTTATGAGCAAAGTATTACTTATGTAAGACTTATTAGCAGTGGGTAGTGAAAATTGTGTTTAACCTACTGCATAAAAAAAGTAGTTTTGAAACCTCCCATTATTTGAATGACAAGTGAAAGTCTCTTTTCAAGAATAATTTTGATATGCTAAAACTATGATTTTCTTTCTTTAGGATGAAAATTTGTGATGTTCGATATCATGTGCCACTATCTACATACAGAAATAGTTGCCATGGCATATTTCTGGCGCTGCCTGTACTAATTGTACTCCAAACTCTTAGGGCATGTACGCGGTTCCAGATCTAAAAAGGCCATGTAGGAAGTCTCCAGTAGTAAACCCAAGCTTAGCAAAATTTGGTGAATCCGTAGCTCCTCTCAGAAAAGTGAACGATGGTTCCCATACTAAATCAAGTAATAGGTTTCCTCACAATAACACTCAGCCCCATTTATCATGTGCCAGCATGACATAGAGGTGCTACTTTTGCTTTGCTTATTCTCTTGGAGCTAAATCCTGGATTGCTTTGGAGTCAGAAACTTTTCTTTCCCCACCAAACCAATTCTTAGATCCTCTGCCTGCAATGGTATACGTGACGGTTTTGAGTGACTAATGATCCTTAGCCCCTCTTTGGGTCATGGGTTGCACACACACCCTTATATCTCCGAAATTTACTATATTGTTTGTTTGTGCCTGTGATATCTCAGAGCTTTTTTGTTTTGGGTGCAACGAAGCTCGGCAACGATGACACGCCGCGTTCACTTCTTGGGAGGTCAGGGCTTGTTGCAAGTATGTGGCGGCGTGTCAGCGTCCCTGGCTGATGTTCACTGTGGGAAGTCGGAGCTGCTTATTGCTGCTTCCTGCTTGTAGTAAGCTCGGCAACGGTGACGTGTGGTGGGCTCCGTCGGGTGTGTTAGGTCCTTGGCTGATGTTCACCGTGGGAAGTCAGAGCTGCTTACTGCTGCTTGTGGTAAGCTCGGCAACGATGACGTGTGGTGGGCTTCGTCAGGTGTCATTGTTGTGTAAGCGGGTTGCCTAGGGATTGTCGTCTGGGCTGTCGTGGTGGGGTTTTTGCCGGTTTTCCATCTGATAAACCGCGCGTCCGTATGGTTTTCAGGCCCGGTTTCCCTTATAAACCAGTCAATTCCATTCTACTTAATTGAAAGGCAGAGCTCTTGCCATTGCTTTAAAAAAAATCTATTTAGGGAATTGTATGACTATACTAAATTCAAACATGGTGTACCTCAGTAAGTTAATCTAGTGAATGTCCACACTTCGGTAACTAGTTCCCTATTGCTATTCAGCTATGCACAGTCCTTTCTAACCACCCCGTGATATTGCTATCCAGGTATACAGTAGGTAAAATCACCCCTGTGCCTTTGCGTGAAGTCCGTTCAAATGATTTTGGACCTCGAGCACGGATAAGAATGTACTTCCCTACTGAAGGCTCGCAGTATACGCCTCCACACCACTCTGTCAATTTCTTTTGGAAGGATTATTGCCCTATGGTTTTCCGGTATGTCTCTTTCCTGATTGCTAATTGTATAAGAATTTAACGTTTTCATACTTTTCTGTTGTTTTTTCTCGAATGCATATTGTTCTGTTAGTGCTGAATGTGATACTTTTTTTTTGGGGGAGTATTGTTGATTGTGATATTTAAACTATGGTTCATCTATATCTAATTAACTATGTTGGTCTATTATGATTCACCCATCTAATTAACTATAGAAGATATCAAGTATCAACTGAACGAATGCGACGTTGCTGATTTGTTTAACAAAAGAGTAGGTAATGTGTTGGTTAGATTGCCTATGTTTTTACTTGCAGAAGATTGTATCTCAGAATAAATTAGAAACTAGCAAGAATCTTATGATCACCTCTGAATCAGTTTGTCTGATTTAGAATGAGTCTGCCATAACCATCATAGCATCGCTCAAAGCCTCAACTTGAATTTTTTTTTCCTGAAAGTCATGTTTCTCTGTTTTTACTATGTTCTCCTATTTAAATATTGTTTAATTGGTTATAGTTCAACAATTAATAAGAGACCCACTGGCTTGGATTTTTCTACAGATTCTTCAATTCATCTTTTTGTCATAGCTAATTGACTCATTGATTTCAGGAATCTTCGAGAAATGTTCCACATTGATGCTGCAGATTACATGATGTCCATATGTGGTGATGACAGTCTGAAAGAGCTTTCTTCACCTGGGAAAAGTGGCAGTATTTTCTATCTTTCACAGGATGAACGTTTTGTCATAAAAACCTTGAGAAAAGCTGAGCTGAAGGTATCGCCTCGAAGGCTTTCTATGAGAGTGTGTTGTGTTTTACCTGTTCTTTTTTTTTTGAAGCGATGTTTTACTTGTTCTTAGTCTGTGGATGAGTTGTTGATATATTTACAGCCAGGAAAAATTTGTTGCACATAAGATTTATGGTCTTAATATTAGTTAACATTTATATGGAAAAAAATCATAGGATAAAAATAATTTATACCGTTGCTGAGTGATAAGTTATGCCTACTGCAGATTGGTTTGATGTAATACAAAAAAAATCATAGGATAAAATAATTTATACCGTTGTTGAGTGATAAGTTATGCCTACTGCAGATTGGTTTGATGTAATACATGCTGCAGATACTGTTGAAGATGCTTCCAAAATATTACAGTCATGTCAGAGCTTATGATAATACGCTCATTACAAAATTTTTTGGTGTGCACAGGATTACTCTGAAAGGCGGCAGAAAGGTGCACAATCACATTCTTGTTGCATTATTCTTATTTAGTCTGTAAATGCATGTCATATGTTTTGGTTTTTTAATGGTTTTGTTCAGGTTCGCTTTGCTGTGATGGGAAATATGTTCTGCACTGAGCTGCGAATTCATCGTAAGTATGACTTGAAGGGTTCAACACAAGGCCGATCAACAAAAAAGCAAAATATAAATGAGAACACAACACTGAAGGACCTTGACCTTTCATATGTTTTTCATGTGGATAAACCATGGCGTGACGCCCTTTTCAGGTAAGCTAATGATCAACTGCTCCCTTTGTTTTTCTAAACACCTTTTTCTGGTAGTATATACTTGTATTTCTACTAGTCTTCAGTGTCTGACCCTTTTTTACAGAAAGTATCTGACATTATTTATGAAGTCACAAGTACTCTCACAATAAAAAATACAAGAAAGTAAAAATAATGATAAATACAAACTGTAGAAAGTAATATACTTATGATAGATTTCTACTTTAGGCCAAGATCAGTGCCTATCAAATGTTTTATACTCTCATATGGTTTGATAAGTGGTAACTTCTAATCGTTTCTGCGGACCATTTTCAGGCAAATATCACTTGATTGTATGTTCTTGGAATCCCAGTTTATCATCGATTATAGCATGCTCTTGGGGATCCATTTTAGAGCTCCCTATCACCTGAAGACATCTTCATCACATCAGAGCAGTCTTGAAAGATGCGGAATTCCAGGTATAGTATTCATTGTAATTGTAACATTGCATGAACCCAACCTTAAGCTGGTTTCATTTTTTTTTTTGTACTTTTCTCTTATAACTGAACAAATCATGACAAAACACTATTGCTATGACCATGATATCCTTTTAAAAAACAAAAGGACCACCTTAAGTATCAGTGCTATACTGCTATTCACACTACTAAAAATCTTACTCGATATTTTGAAAATGGTATCACAGCCAACTTACGCAGCTGACCCAAAATGGCAAAAAAGGGTCACAACAAAAATATAGGTAATGTAAGAGTGAAATATAGAGCAGAATTGCCAAGGAAAACTGGTTCACCCAAGCGCTATAAACAAATTTTCCCTTCTATTTATGCTATGTTCCTTTACATTCTATGTTGTGAGTTCTATTCTATCAGCAATTGGGCATTGAATAACTGGTTGCTTACCTTCAGCTTTTGACTGTGTTACCTAGTAATAAACTGCTTCTTTTTGCCTTGACCAGATAGTGAACTGTTGCAATATGAGGAAAAAAGTTCGTGGAAGGGATTTTTGCTTGTTGCTCATGAGCCAGGCACTACAGTTGGTGGTTCCCACATAAGAGGAAGCATGGTTAGAGCATCGGAAGCTGGTTATGAAGAAGTTGATCTTGTTTTGCCAGGCACCGGACGGTACATTTTCTTCAGTTTTGCCAAAACATTTGATGATCCAGCTTCACACTAGATGCTGCAATGCAGTACTAGAACACGTACTATATTAATTAGGGAGTCTCCTGGGGTTTACTGGCGAGGGGAGAAACTTTCCACTAGCCAGCCGGAACTCAGAAGTCCGTTAACTCTAAAATGTAATGGCTGATTTAAATGAAAACATGATGGTCAAATATACT